AGGGTCCTCCCCAGCTCGAAGATGGCGCCAATGAGGTCGTCGCAGCCTGATGTGGGGGACAGCGGGGAAGAGGGGGACGTCACGGCTCCGCACTGCCCAGCAGCACCCCCACAATCCCACCCACTGGCCGACCCCAGCGGCACCCGGGGCTCGGAAAGCTTTTGGGAGAAGAGAGGGGTAAAGGGGGTGTCCCCAGCAGAGGATGTCCGGCATGGCTGGGCTTCGGGCTGGAGCGGAAAGCAGGTCCCAACCACAGCGCACATCAACCCGATCCCAGCGGGAGCGAACACAGGTGGGTCTTGCCCCCTCCCGTGCCCCAGGGATTTAGCCCCGCCGCAGGGATGCTGCATTTCACCTGGCTGCAAACCCCAGCCCCGTCCGGGTGTCGAAAGGAGAGGAGAGCCCCAAGAGAGGCGCAGCAAAGGGGCTCTTACCGAGCGACTTGAACATCTGCACGCCGCCAAACTTCCCCTCGAAGAGGACGGTGTTGTTCAAGGGGTTGAACGCGCGGATCATGCGGATTAGGAGCACCTCGAGGCAACCTGATGTAGGCAGAGAGAGGGCAGGGCAGGGCAGGGCAGGGCAGGGGGGTTTCCATCATCCCAGGACCAAATGTAAGAAAGAGGAAAGCCCCCAGTGCAAGTTTGAAGTCCAAATTGTTCATTCCCAAGAGCAGAATGGTTATTCCAATAAATCCAATTTGGGTTCGGGGTTGGTTTTTTGGTTTTTTTTTTAGGTTTCCAATTGCGACCACAATATTTCACCAAAGGGAAATATTATCCAGGCATTCGCAGCCGGACACAGAGATTGACCGAGGTCATGGTTGAGCACCGAGAGAGGAGAGGGTGAAAACAAAATAAATAAAAAGCAAATGGAAGGAAGAAATGAAAGAATGAGTTAAACTCCAGCGTGTCAGGCACAGCCAACTCTGGCTTCGGGATAGAGCACCCTGCCGGGACGCTGGCACACATCCCCTGTGCTGGGTGAGGCTCTCAGCTCCCCAGCCCCGAAAGTTTAGAAACTGCGCAGCTTTTCCACCTTTTTTGGCATTTTGGGGCTTTTGCACATTCAGCTTCCTCGCCTGGGCACAGCGTCACCGGCTCAGGCAGACGGAAGGGTGGGGGACACGGGTGTGCGCTGCCGTTGTCCTCTTCTTCCCAGTCTCTTGCTGGGAGAAGAGGCCAATCCTTTCCTCTTCTCCCTCCCTGCTCCCCTTTGGGTTTGGCACCCCTTTTCTTGAGGGAAAACCCGCTGTGCTCGTTTCCTTCCTGGTTTCTGGGTGACATTTGGTTGAGGGTGACCATGGAGAAAAGCCTCTGCCTGGGGCAGCCACTCCCCGCGTCCTTCTCTATACCATCGCCTTTAAAAATGACCTTAAACTCCTTCCAGCCCGGTACCTGCTCACCGAGCACCGATGTCGAGCCCGGGGGCAACCGGGGCAGTGAGGGAGGGGAGATCCAGAAAGGAAAGCACTAGCCGAGAGAAAAGATGGGATTTGCCTTTGGCACCATGGCTGACGCTCGGGAGAGGCGTTGGGGACGCTCGGGGGACGGCCGGGACGCGAGGGGGACGGCAGGGTCCCCCGCTCTTACCGGCTTTCAGGAGGATGATTTGGTCGTTCTGGCAGAGCTCCATGAAGCCGTCGATGCGCTTGGCAAACTCCACCACGTACTGGATGGCGTTGGAGATCTGCAGCGAGCACTGCTGCCACATGGCCTCACAGCTCTGCCAACACAGTGGGGATGTCCCTTAGGGCTCGCTGCCACCCCGTCACCTGGGGTTTGCTGCCACCACATCACCCTGGCTCCGCTGTCCCTCCTGTCCCCACTGCACGGGGCAGGGAAGGGACCCAGGTGCCGTGCCACCCACGGGGGGTGGTGGCACTGGGACACCTGGGACATGACCTGCCACCTACACCCCCGCATCCTCCCCAGCGGGGCTTTTGCAGCTCCCAAAGCACTGAAAGACCCCCCTCATCCTCCTCGCCTTCCTCCCTGCCTCGGCGCAGCCCTGGGGGACAACGGTGGCCCTTGCCGAGGGCTGCGGTGGCTCTGGCCGTGGTGGGGAGCCGGGGGGGCCGTGGCAGCGGCTCTCACCTTGCTCTGCAAGGTGCGGACCTCCTCGGGGGAGTAGAGGCTCCACGCCAGGCGCTTGAGCTCCTCCGTCGTGTACTGGCACGTCTCCAGGTGCGACTTCACCACATTCTGAGCCACCCGGTCTGCAAGGCGAGGGCAGCAGGTGATGAGTCCCGGGGACCCCACCGGCCCCTCTGTCCCCACACCCCGACGTCGTCCCCTCCCGGGCGTCCTGCGGGGCTGCTGGGGGCTGGAGGGGCAGAGGGGCTCACACGCGATGTCACAGGGATCTGAGGACAGGTGGGGCATCGGGGGCTGTCCCCGGGGCAGAGCGGGGGACGCCCCACACGACCTCAGGTGCACCGAGCTCCATCAGTGCTCAGCCTGGAGGAGGGGATGGGCTTGGGGCTGCTCTGAGAGCCGAGGCTGGGTCGGTCCCTCGCTGTGAGCGTGCCCGGCGCTGCGTGGGCACCCAGGGCTGCACCGAACACCATCCCCGGGGCTGCACGCCCCGTGCGTGCCCGGCATCGCGCCGGGACCACACCAATGCTCACCAATCTCAAGGATGGAAATATCGGCAGCCAGCTGGCCGCCCTCCAGCGCGCCGTGCGCGAACAGGGCTGGCTCCAGCATCAGCTCGTAGATGGACTCCTGCTTGATGAGCGTGGCATCGGCCATGTCCAGGCTGGATTGGTCGGGCGAGGGCTGCGCCGAGGCGAGCAGGTCGAGGTTGTAGTAGGTGCTGCTGCCATCGGGGGTGAGGGGGAAGTCGAAGAGGAGCCCGTCCGACAGCGTAGAGATGTCGTCCAGGTCCGAGAGCCCACTGCTGACGCTGGTGGTGTAGACGCGGCTCAGGGGCTCGGGCTCATCCTTGGCACCGCCGCTCTGCTCCTGGCTCTGCTGGTGCTTCTGCACCTCGGCGTAGAGGCTGTCCCGCTGCTTCTTCGACATGCGGCCGAACTTCACCGCTGCCCGGGGAGGAGATGCCGGCTGCGTCAGGGCAGCTTCGCCCCCGCAGAGCGGCAGCCGCGACCACCCGCCTGCCCTGGGAAGGGCCCCTGCTCCTGGGGGAGCGCGTGGTTTGGGGGTGTATGAGCCCTGAGCGGGACAGGGGCCCCGTCGGATGCACCCCCTGCCCCAGACCGACCCTGGGTCAAATGGAACAGAATCAATTTAAATTTTCCCGTGGAAAATGCAAAAGCATTTCTTGCTCCCCAAACCCCTCCTTTCCCCGGGCTGGCCTCACGGGAGAAGCAGCTCCGGCCCCGATGGCCCAACTCACTCCAAGGAGGAGCGGACGGGCTCCTGGGGTCCCCAGGGCACGACTCACCATCGCGGGACATGCCCAGCGCCAGGCATTTCTGCAGGCGGCAGTGCTGGCAGCGGTTGCGATTGGTGCGGTCGATCAGGCAGTTCCTCTGCCGGGAGCAGGAGTAGCTGGCGTTGTTCTGCTGGCTCCTCCGAAAAAAACCCTGCATGGGACGGGGAGGCGTTGGAAAAAGCGCCCGGCGGGATGCTAGCCCCCGTGGCTGCCCGCCCGCTGGCACCCGTCCCTGGGCATCCCTGGGCTCACCTTGCAGCCTTCGCAGGTGATAACACCGTAGTGGATCCCCGAGGACTTGTCTCCGCAGATCTTGCATGGGATCACTTCGATTTGGGCTGCGGCGGAGAGGAAAAAGGGCGAAAACCACGGTGGTTAATGATGGCCGCCGCCGAACCGAACGAGGGAGACGGCCCTCTCTCCGTGACAGCTGCAGCCCTGCTCGGCAGCTGGGGAAACCGAAGCACGAGATCTGGACCGGCCATCAGCTCAGCCCTTCCCACAGACCCCCGCAAGGATGCTTGTGCCTCAGAGAGGACCCCGAAAAGGCCCTTGCAGGGCATGGGGTACCCCCATGTGCTCCCCCATCCTCTCCAGCACCAAGAGATGGGCAGAAAAGCCCTTTGAGCTACGAGAGTACAGCATGTTTGTGCACCAGCCTGCCCGGGACCCCGTTTTGGAATCATTGCTCTTATTTTTCAACCAGTGTGTGCACACTGCGGGGGCACCACAGACAGGGACATCCTCGGCACAGGGACCATCCCTGTCCCTGCAGCCACGGACGCTGTCCTGCTGGGGGTCTGGCCCAAGCAGAAGGGCCGGGGGGGACCCGACGCCCCTTGGCAGCTCCTTAGAAAAGCCAGGACCGATATAGCCATCGCTGGCTCAAGGTCCCGGCCCCCTTCCCCCCGCAAATCCGCTTCCCTCCCCGCTTCTGCTTCGCTGGCACTGAGCTGCTAATAGGCTTCGTCCTCCTCATTTTCCAGCTGCCCCAGATCTGGGCCGGCTCTGCCCGCCCCGCGCGCACCGGGGGGGGACACACACACACACACACAGACGCGGGGCACCCCCGGGACTCGTACGTGCCTCCCGGCATCTCTGCACCCTCTAATCCCCGCTCCAGCCCCCGCGCCCCCTGGCCGGGCTCAGCCTGGCGTCGCTCTCAAGGGTGCTGGGCAGCCGCCACCGCGACCAGCAAATCCCCGGCTCGGGTAATTCCCTTCTGCCTCTCTCCTCCCCTGGGAGCAACCGATTCTGGTCAAGGGACATGTTTTGTGGCTTGCTGCCAGCCACCTCTGTGGGTGACAAGCCCCGGTGCTCGGCCAGCACCACCTGCACCCCCGGCACCCAGCGGTGCCCCGGGGTCCCTTGCTGCTTTGGGGGAGGCTGGACTGAGCCTCGCCGTGCAGCGGCGCAGCCGGGCTGCCATCGGTCCCCCGGGGATGCCATCGGTCCCCCCCTGGGGCAGATTTGCTCCCAGCCATATGGGGGAAGGACTTGCCCCAAGTCCGGGTGCAAGCGGAGGGACAGATCCCTCCTCCATCCGTTGACTCGCTGCTCAGCTCCTGCTCCAAATACACCAGGCAATTTTGGGGTTCGCCCCCCTCTTCCCAGGGCTGCCGAGCTGGGCTGCTCCCAGGGCTGTGTCGCCGTGTGCCTCCCGACCCAAGGGGGTCACATCCCACCCCTGCCCCTCCCCAAAGCCTCTGCCAGTGCCTCTGCTGTATTTTTGGGCCTGGGGCAGCAGAGCCACCCACCCGGGGCCGGCAGGGAGCAGGCAGGGATGGCCAGGGCATCTTCCCATCCTCCAGTCCCAGCCCCC